GTCGACGCTCACCATGAGCCACGCCGGCCGGGCTGCAGGCTTATTAGTATTCGCACCATTGCCTTTTTGACTACAGTGTGAACCCCAGGAGAGCGGGGACTTTGTATCTTCATTAACAGTGGTACCCTTGTTCTTTAGAACCGTGTCTAGCACATCGATGGACGCTTCTTTTTAAAAAATTAATTTATTTTTTTATTGTCTAAAGTTTTACATATGTCTCCTTTTCCCCCAATTAACCTCCCCCCCCTCCCCGCCAGCCATTCCCATCCCCTGGCAAGCCCCCACCGCCCCATGTCTGTGTCCATTGGTTATGCTAATGTGCATGCATACAAGTCCTTTGGTTGCTCTCTAACCCCCCCGCCCACCTCCCCTGCCATTTGTCTCTGGATCTATTTTTGTTCATCAAATTATGCTGATCATTGTACCCCGCACAGGAGTGAGATCATGTGATACTTATCTTTCTCTGACTGGCTTATTTCGCTCAGCGCAATGCTCTCCCAGTTCCTCCACGGACACTTCTTGAGCCGCTGGAAGCCACATCTCCTCTGGAGATCTTGAATTCTTCCTCTCTCTGAAAATAAACTTCCTAAATCTTCCTCCCGCAGCCTTCGCATTTGAAATAAGTGTGAGCTGTGATCTACTAGCTCCTGCCTGGAATCCCCTGGGTAGGGAAGCCACACCAGGGCAAAGACCCTGGGTGGTAACTATGGAATGAGGACTTCTTGCAGGCAGGGCTGGGCTCGGGCGCCTAGCCAGCCCTCTGCTTTATCTCCTTGCATTCTCTCCGCAGACTAGAGATAGGCTCTCTGACTACCCTGCTCCCCTTTGACAAAGGGGCGCATCCTCCCCAGAGGTGCAACACCTGGCCGCCAGGTCACACACAGTATTTAGGATCGCTGGGCTGAGATGAGAAATCCAGGTGTGGTGGGCCCCACACCGCCTCCTAGCGGTCACCTCCGCTGATGCGCGTCCAGGTGGTGAAGCGGGAAGGGGCTGGGGTTGGCAGCCTTCCCAACGCGGCTTCTGGGGTGTGCATGTGTGTGTGTGTAATTATATTATAATATATGCATGACCTCCTATGTGTGTGTGTGCGCGTGTGTGTGTGTAATTATATAATATATGCATGACCTCCTATATATGTGTGTGTAATTATATAATATATGCATGACCTCCTATATATGTATGTGTGTAATTATATTATAATATATGCATGACCTCCTATGTGTGTGTGTGCATGTGTGTGTGTGTAATTATATAATATATGCATGACCTCCTATATATGTGTGTGTGTAGTTATATTATAATATATGCATAACCTCCTATATGTGTGTGTGCAATTATAATATATGCATGACCTCCTATGTGTGTGTAATTATAATATAGCATAACCTTCTATGTGTGTGTGCGCGCGTGTGTAATTATAATATATACATAACCTCCTGTGTGTGTATGCGTGTGTGTAATTATAATATATGCATAACCTCCTGTGTGTGTGTAATTATAATTTATGCATAACTTCCTGTGTGTGTAATTATATTATAATATATGCATAACCTCCTATATGTGTGTGTGCATGTGTGTGTGTGTAATTATAATATATACATAACCTCGTGTGTGTGCATGTGTGTAATTATAACCTCCTGTGTGTGTGTAATTATAATATATGCATAACCTCCTGTGTGTGTATGTGTGTGTAATTATAATATATGCATAACCTCCTGTGTGTGTATGTGTGTGTAATTATAATTTATGCATAACCTCCTGTGTGTGTAATTATATTATAATATATGCATAACCTCCTCCTTCATTTGAGATCGCCGGTGCTAACCAGGTTGTCCACTTTTTCGGACACGTCCCAAGAGCCTCTGGCGTCCAAGGCTGGGACTCACTCTCCCGCAGGTTCCCTCCGCGCACAGGTGGTTGAAGCCCCCTCGTGAGAGAGGCTGGGATCCCCACGCTGCGACCCCGAAGAAAGGGACGTCACCCACTCGGCTCACCCCTTCGCTAGTGGGGCGCGTTACATCTAAGTGGACAGCAACAAAAAAATACAAGTGTGTGGCTTGGAAGTTGCCCGGAAAGA